AGACACAAAGAGATAGGGAGAAAAAGATTAAAATATACATGTTGAGGATAAAAAAAGTAAGCGACACTGACACTACAATAAAGATACGGATAACGCTTTCGAAAGTTTAGTGAGAAGAAAAGAAAAAAGACTGTTAAAAGGTCTTACCGATGTATATATAGATAAACCGATTCATTTTGAAAATTTCAAAAAGTTCCCTATGAGAGGAAATATCAAAGTTTTCTTAGGTGTCACTGAATCTTCGAAAATTTCCCTATATGTAAGGAATTTTTAAAAATTTCCCCCGACGGTCGTCGGCGCACACGGGTAGATTCTGCACGGCTGGACGTTGCACTCAACTTTATTCCTTTTGCACGGTATTTGTAAAAGAACCGGGCAAATGGATTTTGGCCTTAAATTTTTCCTGTAGACATCTCTTGAAGCCATTAGAATCTTCTAAAAATTTCAGCTAACAAGAACAATTTCTTCTCGAGATATCCAAATCACAGAAAACCATGATATTTGGTGAAAATGACGGAAAATTTAGTGTTTTTATGGATTGGATATTTCGAGAAGAGGTCACTCCTGTTGGCTGAAATTTTTAGGTCAAAATTCTGGTTCGATTGTTTTAAAAATACCATGTCAAAGATGAAAACTTCTGTGTAACTGTCATAACTTCAAAAGGCAGCGTATGGGAAAGAATCCTTCTCGTTTTTTTCTAGTCTCGGCAGACCCTATGTATTGACTGGGATCTTATCTCAAACTCAAAATATCATCTAGGTTGGGTCCCTCGTAAGTAGACATGACTAATGATGATGGATCATTAACAAAGATATTTAATATATATATGGCCGTTCAATAACTTGAGCAGATTAGTACATTTGTTTTCATTACAATGGTTTATTTTTTTGTAAGCCGTGTCATAGATATATATTATGATTATTCTGATGATTTATTTTCTTATCATCCTAAAGATTTGTTTAGTGTTTTCTAATTGATTTACTGGTCATTTATCAATTTATTTGTAATCCAAGCAAGAATACTAGAACATCAATCTCAGCATCATATCTTTTTATTACATACTATAGTTGCATTTTATACGAAGAGATCACATTAGATGTTTTGAAATAACCGATAATTTGTACTGGTATTCTTTGTATAGCATATGACCTTTTTGATTTTGTGCAATGACTTTCTCGTGACATATGCAATATGATTAATAGGATTGCTCTATTTTTAGAAAGTTCCATGACAGCAATTTTATATATCGTAAAGAATGTTAAGACAAAGTTTCTATCACATGATCTCATGATCATGACTATCATGATATGCTTAACTACGTGTCTTTTGAGATTTGTTATTACGAAGAATTACAATTCGAAAAATCCTTTATGGCATAGAATCAATATGGTATCCTTTCATAGCTTATTTTTTAATGTTTTTTTTATAAGTATAGTTTTCTACTTAGACATAACCTATTAAAATGTTTTATAGAAACTCACTATTTTAATTTAATCGTTGACTAACAAAATAACGATGACATAAATCATCCTTCTGTTGGAATGTTTAGCATTTAAAAAAAATTGAATTACAATATACTGGAACTATTTACTTAAATTCTTTATTTTTGTATATATAATAACTTATATAATTTGGAGACCTTTTCTGAGTAAGTGGATACTGGTATTTAATATTTCGTTAATGTTAATTTCTTATTTCTTGCAAATGTATTCAATGAAATTCTCATAAAATTAATCACAATTTTTCACCGTTTATGCATTGATATGTATTTTACATGGTAAATGAAAACTTCGTCGGCAATTTCTTAAACAAGTCACTTTGTGATTTCGATTATATAGGGTATAGCAAAAGTAATGAGCCCGGCGTATAGATAGATAGTTCAAAGAAAATTTCCCTTGACATATACTGATGACAGATGTGCAGGCCCAAGTTTGATTGCTGTCCATGTCTCGAGACCATGAGAAAGAGAATTATGATTATAAACGAGTTATTGTAGATGACAAAGACAAAGTACTATTCATCGACTAAATAAATCAAAAGAAGAGTACATAAGAATCTTTTTTTAAAGATATTATACCAATTGACTCTAGAATAATTTACTCTATATCGAGAACAGGATCAAAGTAGATATGCCGGAACTAAAATAACTTAGTTCCGCACATCTTTCATAGTGGTAGTTCGAACAGTGCTATATATTTCTTCCATGTTTTATGATTCTTTTATTATGACTCAAACCAGCTTGCTCCCACAATTTGTCAGTTGTTGTATAATAATCATTAGTAATAACGCAATGAACTTGTACGATTTTTTTTCGGAGAATTTAAACTATTCTGCAAGGTGAAGCCTATTCGCTAAAAAACAGAACATAGCTGCCCCCTGAGTAAATTTTGACTGAATAGAAAATGCAATATACACTCTAATACATAGAAGTGAAAATTTTCCCTTTTCATTTTGTAACAAAACTGAAAAGCTTTTATCGAAATTTATTATCATATGAACTGAAAAACGATGAGATACTGAAGAAATATAGAATGTCATTTGTACTATAAATACATATAAAAAGAAATTCTTCTCGAGCGTTCTACAAAGTACAATAGTATCGGTATCATTATTTTTGATACACTCTAACTATATATAATAATTGATGTTTAAAAGAAAAGTTTATATATTATATTCAACAGAAATTCTATAAATTGTAGGATTCATTGTTTGACTTATTTTGCTTTGTAGTTTGTAAAATTTTCAGAGTTTTCATTGCTGTTTACTTTCAATTAAAGTAAAAACTTAATCTTTGATTCATACCATTAATCAAGATCTATAACATAGTAATTCTAATCAATCGTTATATAGTGGAAATCAAAAATGAAGAATGAACTAGAGTTCGTTTATTGACACATCTCATTGTATGATAGAGACCTATAAGTTAGTTGAGTTAAGCCTACTACACACTTCAATTTATTCTTCCTATTAACATCTATAATAGCTTTATTTAAGGTCAGACGTATTCAAATACATCTGTTACACATCTACACACAATATGTTGGATTCAAAATAACAACATACTTAAATTTAGAATGTTTCTATCATATAAAAATCTCTAAGTGCAATTAGACTTCATCTCTTATAAAAGCATTTTCCTTCAGATTATATTACAAAATAAAATATGTCATTTCTTACGAAATAAAATACTTAAAAAAAATTGTGAAAATACTTTTCAATGATACATTAATAAATTGTTTGATAATGTTTCATATCTGTACACAAAAGACATGTAAAATTTGAGTTAAACTTATATGAAAATTTCTAGAATATATATTCTAATGATTTGGTTATTCAAAATTTATATATTTATCCAAAGTGTATAAAAGTTCTTTTGTTGTTACGTGTATATAGACCGCGGAATCAAGCCAAATTTTGACATATTAGACCATAATAAAACCAAACTGTTTGACATCACTTTTTTTTGTAATATAATCATAAATCATGTTGATTTTAAGTAAACATTTACATATCATATACAAAATAAATAATCTCTACAACTTTTTATGACAATCAAATAAATCATTTAACCCTCGATTATTTGTTATTCATTTAATTTTAATAATGATCCAATTTTTTTAATGTTAATATACCATCGATTAGAAATATGATATAAACATAAATTAAAAACTTTTTTCATAGTTTTCTTTTTGTATTATCAATAGTATACCTTCGGAGATGTATACACAAATGTAAATGTAGAACGTGGCAAACATTTTGTGACATTCTTTGTTTTGTACGTTTAATTCTGTCGAAGAATGCAATCAAAAGCTGATCGTTTTTTTTCTCAAAAAGTACGCCATTGAATGTTCTACTTGGATCACAAGACTAAATTTTTATAGTTATTTTCGAAATTTTAATAGACTAAAAACACTGAAGACATGTTATTTCTCACGAGGAAAAATCAGAAAAGCCCACTTTGCGATAAACAACTTAAGTCATGCTTAATCAAACTAATGTTAGATAAAATGTAATGTCTCAGGAGGTGTAAAAAAAAAGTTCATCACTTCATCAATACTTCCCACGAAACTAATACTGATTCCTTCGTAACGTACGTTCATCATTTTAAGTTGAAAACCAAGTTCAGATCGTATTATTTTGTTAAACTTGATTCTTTTGTTACTATTTATTTCAACAATCGAGGAAGTTTAATCTGGCGGTATAAGACGTAGCGATTTGTGTATCGAGCTCACTGTTTTTAGACAATGCATTTGAGAGTAATACTGCAGAAAATCTTTGAAGATGAAACATTCCAGATCAATTGACACAGACGTCATTTTTCATTTGTATTTGAGATAAAGATGACTAATAATCCTCATGTTTTAAAGATCACATCTTATCTCTGATTGATTCCAAATATTACAATCAAAATTCGACATTCTCTTATAGGAAATAACACAATAACAAACATATTCAGTATTAATAGTCTATTAAAATTTTGAAAACAGCTACAAAGATTTAATCTTGTAATCCGACTAGAACATTTAGTCGAGCATCTTTTGAAAAAAAAACGATCAACATCTTATCATGTTCTTGAACAGAATTAGTTGCAAAACAAAAAATACCACAGAACTTTTATCCCACTTGATAACATTCAATAAACAGTCATATTGATTTTAACAACAAAAACTAACAATTATGAAAATAACTTGATTGATGATTAAAGATAGATAGCATGATGATAATGTTGATTTCTTTTATTTATTTTCATAAATATAAGATTTATTTCAAGAGACATTTGAAAAAAAAAATCAGTAATGAGTATTCGTATGCGACAACGACGAGAAATAAAAATTGGCAAGAAAATGTATGTGTGTGCAATTGACAAATGAAGACGTGTATGTTGTAGAAAAACAAAAGCAATTACATAAAAATAAGCATAAACACTGGGATTAGTAAATATCCACTCCATAAAAGAAAACTAAAGCCCATAGTTAAAAGCAAAACAAAGAGACGGATGTTTATTGCCAAAGAAAATCTGATGATGCTGGCATGTAATCTGTAACTGGACGAGTTGGCATAGCAGATATTAATGTTGATGCCGATGTATTACCTATAGAATTAGCAAATGGTACAAACTGAGAAAATTCATTATTTAACTAAAACAAAATCAAAATAAGAATAAAATAGTAGAATTTAAAGAAATTTTTAGTATACTTGATTAGGTGTAAAAGTTGTTGTTGGACTTTGAAGAGTAGGTGTGCTCATATTATTAGGATTATTATGATGCATTGTATTCATTCCCGGTCTTGGTGAAAATAGATGACCTTGCTATAAATGAAATTGATTTATAAAAGAAAAAAGAAAATTCATTGTGAATTTTTTATTTTCATATAACGTACCGATGATTGAAATGCAGGATGAGCTCCAAAGTTAGATGCTTGTTGGTAAAGATTACTTCCAAATGATGCTGATTTGTGATGAGCATGAAGATGATGTTGTTGAACTTGTGGATGAGTCAAACGAGGTGAATTAACTAAATAAAGATAAAAATATATCGCTATATTCATTTGATGTACCATACAGGAGTGTACCTGTTGGAGACTAGGTGACGATTTCCTGCTTTTGAAAATTGTCCACACAATATCCTCTTGTCTCGAATGCTGACTACAAAACCTCTGTATGTGGCAAATCGTTTTTCGATTGAGACGATGTTTATTTGATGAGTAATGTGAAAGTCTAAAATAGTTTGATTTTTCAACAAAAAAAATGCGGTCCCCTCAGGTCACACAATAGTGTCGACTTCAAACTTTGCACGAACACAATTCACAATTAGATTAGTTAATTGGGCAAGTTGTTACTTTTCTAGTATTTCTTATCTTGAGATATTTAATGTTTAAAATTTTTTTATTCGTAAAAGCAAATTTTGTTGATATATTTATATCTCCAGAAAGAAAATACTAGTTGCACAATCAACTAATCTCATTCAGAACTTTGTTCATGCAAAATTTGAAGTCAACACTCCCACGTAACATGAAGGTGGCAACAGTTTTCTGTTGAAACATCCAGTAAAGTTTCGATATCTGAAGAGCAAAAGCTTGAAAAAACAAACCATTCGAGACTTTTCTATCACTCATGAAAAAACATTGGCTCGGTCGAAAACCGATCAGACTTCTGAAGAAGTTCCCTCATGAGAATTGACTTTTATATAAACACAAAACAATATGACTACGCTCGCATAAATCATCAATATTTCGCAATAAAATTAGCAAAACTTATTTTTTATTTTGTGATTTTTCTATCTTTGCTACTCTTTAACAAATAATAAATTTGTCTTTTTCTTCATTACAATATTCTACAATGATAAGATATTTTTCCGTTATAAACTTTTGCATATATATTTAAATAAAGAAAATCTAACGATATTAAACATGTTCTTAAGATGCGAATATGCATTCAAAATATCTCTTACAAATGATCTTAGAATATTTTTTCTTTTGTTACATTTGCTTACATACCATTTGGTAGTTGCATTGTTGGTGGACGAATATTCATTCCTGTACTATTTACTGTTGATGTTTGAGGTGTATTAAATAATGCCAAAATTTTCTCATTACTCATAACATTACTTGTATTAGTTGAACTAGTATTGTCATTCGAAGATAAGAAAACCTTTTGTAAATCTTTATCTAAATCCTTTGTCGTTAGATCATTTTCATTAACATTTATCGATGGTGTTATAAATACATCATGCAAAGAATCCATTATGTCAATTGAAGAAGCTTTTGTAGGATTAGTCGTATTATTTGAAGAAGCAGATGGTAAAGGTAATGATGGTTCATCTAAAAACATACATATCAATATGAATTTAACTTTGAATGAAATATAATAAATATGATTACCTAAGCCTAATAAATCCGGAGGATTTTCTACAACAACAGGTTGTATTGGAGCTGAAACAGATGTTGTCGACGGTGAAGAGGTTATCGTCGTCGTCGTCGTCGTTGGTAATTGTATAGTTGGTGTTGAACGCCCATTACCAGTCTGTCGAACAGGATTCGTAGGCGTCATTGGTGCTGCGATTGGTTTTAATTTTGGAATGTTGTTATTACCATTTTTCTCTACCTAAAATAATATTTAAAAAAAATTTATATAAAACAAAAAACTTTACTTGTTCTACTTCAGATGTTGTTTCAATTCGTCGTTGATTTGTTTCTGATTCAATAAGCTAGAAAAAAAAAACAACTAAGTTCATTATCAATCTTCTCTATTTTCTTCTTTTTTTTTTCTAATTAAGCAAAGCACACAAGAACAAGACAACACTAACATCAATAGGCACCGTTATTTCAGGTGGAATCCATTCTTTAGCAAGCCATCTACGTTGTTCATATTTTGCACGAATAAATGATTCCAAAGAACTATTCAAATTCATTAATATGCATAATAATAAAAAGAATAATATCTAAACATACGAATCAGTTTGTGGACGTCGAAATCCAGTCGGTAAGTTAGCTTCATATACAGCACGTGCACGATTATTACCCATAACTTGCATTGACTAATTAAGAAATTCAATATAATACAGAAAGAAATAAGACATTTTTTTTTCATACAGCAATTTGTTCGGCTGTCCATGAATCTAAATTAACTGATTTAACTTTTGATATGTGTACACCTAAATTTCGATGAAAACCAGCACAACGAATACAAATAAAAATACCAAGATTCCAACTAGCCCATCTAGGACCTCAAAAGAATAATAATAATCAATATAAGATAAATTAAGTATTGTTTTTTTATTTTACTTTTTGTATCACAATCGACGCAAAAACGATTATCATCTTCTTTAAGCATTTGTGAAAGTATCACTTGATATTTTTCTTGCATTTTCGATTTTTCACGTTCAGATCGTACCGACATGATTGTGGAAATGTAATTTATGTTAATATAAATACTCTAAAAAAAATAATTAAAAAAAAAAACAAAAGTCAACACAATTATACATTACAAAAAAAAAACTAACCTGACAAGAGAATAATCATAAAATTGAATGACTATACATGTATATCCATCCATTAACTAAGCATCAAAATATTTTTTTATTGGTTTAATACAATGTACCAATCAGGAGAATAAAATAAAGAGTGTGCACTTTTGTCAATGTTATTGAAACTACAGGTTTTATTCGAGAGCTAATATATCTCCTTTGGACTATCTCTAACATAATCAAAACGGTATCTTCCGTTTTATCGATAGAGTATTTTTTTCTTTTTTTTTCATTGGCATCAGAAATGAGCAACACCACTATGTCTCGCTCCGATTCCGAATTTGAGTTGCCCATCTCTGATCAATATAATTCTTTTTTGTGAGCGATTTCAGAATTAGACGAAAGAAATCTTGTCTTGAAGAAAACGAAATAACCTAAACAGTAATGACACGATCTGATATTTTTAAAACAAACGTTATCATCAGTAGAAAGACCAGAGTAACGCTTTCAATTAGTCCATATGAATATAGATGCAGATATTGGACTTCTATATTCTCACATACACCCAGATTGGAAGGTTGCTACCATCGATTGATGCAAATGTTACCACCTTCAATCTAAACTTATAATACAATGATTGATGAATTAAAGAAGGATTGTGCGTAGAACATGACTACAACGGAACAATCTGTACAAACATCCAGGAATTATAAAAATTATTTTTTGGAATCAACTAACTCTTGATTTAATAAAATGATATAAAAAAATATTTTATGTCATTAGATGAATATAAAAATAAGATTCGTAAAGGATTACTATACAAAAACGAAATGATGATTTGTTTTCAACAAATATCATTCGTAAAATGATAGAGCATGATAAAGTGAGCATTATCAACTGTTACTGATTTAGAGTCGATGTGTAGATAAACAATGAAAATTATATTTGTGATCAAATGATTCAGTAAAAATAGCTTTTATGTCTGTTTAAACTACAAAAACACTAGACTAATGACATAATCAGAACAAATCTTGAGAATGGCTTGGTCTTCTGATGATGTTTGTAGAAGAAATGGAGATCTTCCGGTAACGCTTCTAGATGACACTCAAATCTCTTTTCATGCGGAACTTAATTATTTGTAGAAGAGACTGAGACTTTCTCGTCTGTCTACCTCATTCACTTACCAAATAATAACTTTATATTATGAAACTGAGTTTAACAAGAGAAAAAAAAACAATTTTTTCTTCTATGACAACAAATGAATCATGATAATGTTCTTTTGCGTTATTACCACATGCCAATCATATCCAAAATTTATTATAAATATCTTTTTCAAATTCATGATTTTTATCTGAATCTATTTGTTTGAAGAACGAAAACGAAAAAGAAAAATTGATTTTTCTTGCTTCAGTTTAATTATATTTGACTAATAGAAAAAAAAAGAAAAATCGAAAATTCATAGAATATTTCTCTAGGGTATTAGCTTGGTTAATAAAGATCAAAACAGGTGTCTATTGTTTTTAGATCATTTCTCACTAGAAGGCTGACATTCTCATTTGTCACTAGTTTACATTCATATATGTCCTCATTGTATCTTTCATCCATCTTTATATTGGTTCTTAAACCTAAAATTCATCGAAAAGTTCAAGTATTTTATTAACATTTTTTTTCTTTTAACAATTAACGAGATAGTATTGATCTTCTATAAGTACGTGCTTTTCTTTCTTTATTTATTTTTTGTTCGTATTTTTCTCTTCCGATCAATAATTGAGTAGTTATTTGAGATAAAAAAAAAACTGCAGTCATTCTTATTTTTTTTGATGACTTATTTTATGTCTATTTCCGTTTTGTTTTTCCATTTAGACTCTCGACGAAAAATACTTTTTCTTTTGATGTATTATTTTTCAAAACCGACTAGGTAAGCAAAAAAACAGTCATCAATAATATATATGTATTTTTTTTCTTTCTTGCATTACTTACTGATTAAATAATGGACTACTAATTTGATTATTTTGATATATAAATGAACAGTTGTCAGATCATTTTTCCCAAATGTATTATTATTACTTTCCTTTTTTTTTGCTCTGATCGTAATTGATAAATTAGGAAATGATCCTATATAAATATCTTAATAAAAGGCATCTATCTTGAAAAAATAGTCATGGCATTTGTATTTTACCATGTTGTCAATAATATGTCTCGGATTCTACATCGAGCTCCGAGGTAAAATATTTGAAATTATTTTTCTAGAAAATTATAGTAAACGAAGCGTGAATTCTTGTTTTTTTTTTCTCGTCAAGACATAAATCACTGTTTGGATATCAATAAGGCTAATTGATAACTGTCGCTTCGCAGCAGTGCAAACTCATCACTAGTACCATCGATAGATACTGACAACGACATTAGAATATATCCGGCACAACAGTTGTACAAATGCTGATCTTAGATTTTCTCTCTTTGGACATCTGTTATTCTTGTCTAGTTTGATAGCATAGCCAGCTAACACACATATATATATATATACATGTATAGCCGAATATGTTGGCACACTTGTATTAGAAAATAAGAAGTTTCAGTTTCGTCCTCTTTCTTATTTATTAACAAATCGATCGGAAGCAATATTTTTTATAGAAAACAATAATAAATCGGGTCTATTTTGTTAGACAACATCATTGTGTTTTTCTTTTCATCACGTTTTCTTAATATATACAATATTTGTGACGTATATTTGATTATTTAATCAATATATTTTCATATAATGTCTCTTCTTTATTATCGTGTGTTCAATGATGTATTTGATTTATTTCGTCGACGTAGAGCAGTGAGGTAAGCAAATATATATCAGATAATTCATATAAACGAAAGAAGACAAATAGATAGTGTAATATATTAATCATTATTGATATTGCTTTTCTGAAAGACTTTGGACTTTACGCATAGAAAAATTAATTTATGTATATTACTTTCTGTAATTTGATAGCATAGAAATAGCAATATGTATTACTATTGTATCTAGTATGATTTTTTTTTGTTCTTATTGGATGAATATTAATTTTTATCTGTGTTTGTTTTTATGATTTTAGAAAAAATTAGATGGATTTCGGAATATACTTTTTTGTCTCAACAGTCATATATTTTGTTTTCTTTCCAATTGGTGACTGTATAAATAAAATATAAATTTTAATTACATATTTGTTTTTATAGAAATATGACAGTAATATAAAAATGACTTTCTACTAGCTTTAGATATAGTTCATTTTTTATTCGAAGACAAGAGTAAAACTGTTTTATTATTAGTTGTATCTGTTTTCTAAATAAACTTTGATTATGATTATTTAAAATAAGCATATAAAATTTCTATGTGAACTAGAAAGTTGTTAACATACGTAGTCTAACAAAAGATATTTTTCTTCTCTTAACGATTTTTGAATAATTTATATTATTTGAAATATTATCATAGAATACGATCGATATTATTTGTCGTTTATAATTCGATTTTCATTATATGTAGCTGCATCATATCGATCTATATTCAATCATTATGTTATGTCTCAGGAGAAATATCTTGTGGGCGTTCTCTCCTTCTCATCTTACTATTCTACCTTAAGAGAATGTTGGATCCTATTAATCGATCCACATCCATAAACGTATGCAAATGAATAAACCACTGATTTCTTTTATATATATATATGTCATTCGATCAAGAGTGATGACATCTCAAAGAAACGGTCCATCAAATACACTAAAAATAAAACGACATAGAAAAAAAATATAGATACATACATATATATATATAAGTCTAAAGACATGTCTATTTCTATAACTTTCGAAAAGATACAAGTGGACATTAATTTATTGAATATAATCAAATTAAATAGACAATTCATAAATAAAGATCATAAATGACACAACAACAAGTAAAGGTTTGTTTTTATATGATAAGTTGTATTCATTAAGCTACTTGCTCTTATTTAGTTGAAAAAGATAAGAAAAATAAACAATAATTATGATGTACTCATTTAGTCAGACAAACATAGTTAGTTACACAACCCTTATTTGATTTTACATCTGTTTCTGTCTTCTTTTGTGTTTAATATTGATATATATTCAAAGAGCATGCGATTCTTCTAAATATTGATAGGAATACATTTCTTTCGATACATCTGAATATCTGTTTATTAGACATGATTAAGAATAATATTGATATCATGATTATTATCTTAAACATACTATGTTTAAGATGATCTAAATTATAGTAGTCTCTTCTTTTTCAATCAGTACTCATATAGTCATTTTTCTCACCTATATATCTAATGTAATAAAATATATATCTATATATTTGAATGAAGTTTACCTGTTGTTTAATACATAAAGAAAGAAAAAAGCTTGATTTATTGGTACCAATAGAATTGATACAGATGCAGTCATCTCTTCGCATATATAACAACTGTTTATAAATAATATCCTGTCGATTAATATAGAGATACCAGAAAATATGACCTCAGGATATGAAGATTCCATGATTATGAGTTCTAATAAGTTGTTGATACATCCAGGGTTAAACTTCTTTTGATGTTTCAGAAGTCATATATTTTTTTTTCTACGACCTCCGTCCTCTACTCTTTCTTGCATACTATTTTACGAACTATCATTTCTTCTGCTCGATTACTTGTAATAAATGTCCGGAAAAAAAAAGTAATGCTTGATATTCATTCGTGTGTGTATATATAAGTGTGTTAAATAATCAAACAAATGGGAATTCTCTTATAATGAGACGATCTGTATAAAGAACATAGAACGAACAAAGCAAAAAGGATGGACTTTTTGCTAACGCTAATGAAGCATGTTGATGCTTTTTCTGTATATAACATTGCCTTCGACAAGACGACGACAGATACCAAAAAGTAGTGTTAGTTGTGTTAGTAGTAAATGTAGTCACTGACCGAACAGCAAACACAGACGACAATATGGATAGTATGCAAGAACAAAACACATTGTGAATTAAAATAAACAGCTGATAAAAAGATATCAAGAATGCTGTTTGATGTGAATAATAGACATCACCATGAATCATTGTTGTCAACCCATAGCAATAAAAACCGTTCACCGAGTGTTATCAGTGTGTATGATAATCTCGTTGTAAGAGCAACAGCAACAAATGGAGATATTGCGTGAGTATTCTATTAGATATGATTAATATAAAATCACGTCATTTTTTATAAATCATTAAATGAATTAGATGAAAAATGATTTTTTTTTGATCGAAACAAAATAGACATTAATAACATAATAATGGAAAAAAAGACACATAACAGACTTGACTGGTCTATAATAAATTGTCCAGAGGATTAGCACCATTGATAAATGTTACATCATATATACACCGATCATAATTTGTATATACAAAAAAGCCCATTATTATATCTATATCTATATATATATCAGAATCTGATCAATGCCAATAATAAGACAATAAATTATTCTTCGCTTGTCTTTTTTCTTTCTTCTTCCTATATACATTGTCAGTTAGTTAGTTAGTCATTGTCTTGTTTTCCTATCGATATACAAGAATATTCTTTAGTGAATAATTTCTAGAACATATTTACTCTTCTTTTCTCGTTTGACCACCTATCGTTAAAAAACACATGTTTAAACATATTAGAGAATGTTCTTATTCTAATTCATCCATTTTGCTGACAATATGCGTATATATGTACACAGTTCCTGTATTGTAGAAAAAGATCGAGTGATTTGTTCGTATCTAGTATCTTTACTTCTTTTGTTCTATTTTTTGTCTATTCTTAGTCGTCAGTATAGTCGATCAGAGATAGCAAGGAAATAGGTCCTGTTGTTCTTATAGTACTGCCGATAGGAAGAATCAATCACTCTCTTTCTCTTCTTCTTCTCATTTTCGGTTCCGAGCCGAATGCTATTGTTGATGTTGGAGTATCTTCATTATTATTATTACGTTTGATCGTCTTCATCGACTGAGTTGTTGCTGACATTTTTTGTTATATTCTGGTATTACGATAATTCTCATTTCAAAATACAAATTCTTCTTTGGCTTATATATATATATTTATTTGAAATTACTATTATTGGAAAATGTTCTTTTTTCGTTTTGGTAGGAAACAACGACGAGATGAATTACTTGAAGCACAGCAAAAACGTAGTGCTGCTCAATATCCAACAACAGATAATATACAAATGGAACGAATGGAACGTTGTAAAAATTGTTGTAAATCATTTACAACATTTATATTTTCACGTGTTGGTCTTTGTTTACTTGTTGTGGCATATGCATTTGGTGGTGGTGTTGTGTTTCAATTTCTTGAAGGATCTGAAGAAGATAATATTAGTAAAGTTCAACAACATTTAAATGCTACAGTTGAAAGATTATTTGAACATAGTATGAATTTAACAGTTTTTCAAAGAGAAAATTGGACAGCTGTGGCAAGAGGAATACTTGAAGAATATCAAAAAGATATTGTTCGTCAAACAAAACGTGGTTATCAAGGTGAACGTCTCGCCGATGACGCTAAACAATGGAATTTTCCAGAAGCTATTCTTTATGCGATCACAGTTATAACAACAATTGGTAAAAATTTATTGTTGCTTTTATTTGTCTTGATTGATTCATAACGATAATTTATGTCGTTTATTTTAGGTTATGGACATATTACTTGGTATGTATTCATAAGGATTAGAAATAGGTTAATAGACTTTTAAGGTATAATTGTCCTTGGATCGAATAAATTTCCAGATTCTCTTCATTACTTCATAGATAATAACAATAACAACTGTCGTCCATCTATTGATAACAAGATTATGTTTGCAATTGACATTAAGCGCAGTTATATAAACATAAAAAAAAGGTTTTTTTGATACACAGCTGTCAGAAATGAACTTATCGAGCACATTATAATTTTTTCATTCAATGACATTATATTCTATTGAAAGCTTTTTAAGCAATGGAAAGCAGACAATGTTAATTTTTAGAAGGATTTTAAATTTTAACTTAAACACTTTTCAACTGTCGTCATTCTTTTCTTCTCTTCAAAGTGCATTTTATTTTTTTCTATTTTTATAATTTGTAAGATACTCAAATATTATGATCATAGTAATTTTCAGATTTTAAAGAACTTTATTGACAGGTTTCTTTTTTTAAATATAGAAAATGTTATTTCGTATTCTAAATGTGCTATGTAGACTAATGATGAATTTCTAACACGACGAGATACGATCAATATTTGATGAGATTTTTTCTTTAAAATAATATAATTTTGCAGATGTTAAACGCTGTTTAACGTTTGTGCAGACGAAAATAAAGAATGTCTGATATTTATAGAAATAAATTTAAAATATGTCTAACAGTTATTTTCGAAATGCAAAGAAAAAAAGTTTTTTCATTGAATTTTTATTACATGTCTCTATTAATATCTATTCTATTTATCGGTATTATGAATTTTCAGTATGATTTTCTTTTAGTAAAACAAATTATGGAAAAATAATGACAATGATCTATGCAATATTTGGTATTCCATTAATGTTATTATGTTTAGCAAATATTGGTTCAACAATGGCAGATGCATTTCGTTTTATTTATTGTAATATATGTTGTTCATATTGTCATATGGTAAAAAAACGTCGTAATCTTCGAGCTTTACAATCCGTTGAATTATCACATGCAACATCATCATCAATTCCACAATCTTCAACAGCAACAACATTAACATCAAATAATCCTCAAGCACCTATAAATACACTTGAACAACAACCATCAACAAATGTTGTTGAATTTGTTGATAATCTCAGTATTGATTATCGTAAAGTTACAATACCGATTAGTGTCACACTCTCGTTACTTTCATCCTATTTGATACTCGGTGCATTACTTTTTAGCGAATGGGAAAATTGGAAATTTTTAGATGGTGCTTATTTTTGTTTCGTTACACTTGCAACAATCGGTTTAGGTAAAAATAAAAGTTAAATATATTAAAAAAAGCAATAAATGAATATTTTTTCTTTTATTATTATTTTATTCATAGGTGACCTTGTACCAGGTAAATCAATAACATCAACACAGGTTGAAGGTAAACTTATTATTTGTGCTCTTTATGTTCTACTTGGTTTATCATTAATGGCAATGTGCTTTAATTTAATGCAAGAAGAAGTACGAGCAAAATTTCGACGTTTAGGAAATAAACTTGGAATTATTGATGATCCAAATTTTTGGTAGTTGATTTTATTTAGTTATTTATTTAAATTAAATATTTTAAAAACAAATAAATTTTATTTGTTGTTGTGTATTGCTTTATTTGTTGTTATTTTATAGATTAATATTCTTCATTTCATCTTCTTTTCTTATTGTTGTTGTTGTTGTTATTGGATTTTTTTTTCTTTTTCTTTCTCTTTGATAAATGTTTGAAGAGCAAAATGATCAATATTTCATACATTCTGATGTATTTTTATCAACAGAAGATAAAACAAATTATGAAAAATTTTTTAAAAATTCTATTCAATTTTTTATATTATTAAATGAGAATCATGGAGATATTAATATTGATGATGATGGTGATCCAGATTTAAATCGTCCAGAACGTATTGATTTGACTTTAGGTATATCTTTAGTTTACTTGAGATTTTTAAAAATTACTTTTTTTTCATAAATGAAAAATGGATGACCGCAGTTATATTTAAAAATGTGGTATCATACAACAAATATGATTATACGAATGCTACATGTTGTTATCTTAGACAATGTTGACAAGCGATGAGAGTGAGAGAGATCTCATAGTAACAGCTTCAGATGTGTGTATTCTTTTATCTTCGGTCAATATTACATAGGACTATGCCTGAAGAGAAGTAGTTCATACACAAAAGAATGTTTATTCGTTTTAAATATTTATCTAATCTTCCCTTCTCAATTTATTATAAGTTAAAAGAAATTTTTTTTTTGAAAAAAAAACAACTGTTTTTGTAAAATTGATAGTTAAATTATTAAATATATTCTTTTTCTTAAATAGTTCATCGTAATGAAACAAATATATCTGAATGTGGATATCAATTATGGAATGGTTCTTTACTTCTTTGTGATTATATCTTAACAAATCAATCTCGGTTTTTAAATAAAACAATCTTAGAATTAGGTGCTGGTATTGGTCTTTGTAGTCTTATTGCAAGTCGATTTGTATCGAAAATTATTTGTACGGGTATATTAAAACTTTTACTTTTTATTCATTAATAAAAAAAAAAAAGGTTTGATGTTTCATAGACTATGATAATGATTTATTAGAAGTAATTAAACAAAATATTGAAATAAATGATGCTGTATGTAGAAAAGAATGTATTCAAATACAAAAAATTGATTGGAAACAATTTAATTCAAATGAAATAGATAATCATATCGAAATTATTCTTGCAGCTGATGGTAAGAAAAAAAAAACCGAAATCGTGTTTTTTTCTTATACATATTATTTTCTATTCTATAATTTATAGTTATTTATGACGATGATTTAACTGATGCATTATTTAATGTATTTACAAAATTATTTCAAGATAAATTAAATCTTCATTCAATTTATATAACAATTGAAAAACGAATTAATTTTTATCTTGATACATTATCTATTCAATGTTCAGCATATGAATATTTTCTTGAAAAATTAAATCAATTTAAAAGTGATTTTCCATTAATAATCGTCGAAGAAATTAATACAGATTTAAAATCTATAAAACAATGCACAACAATTTATAAACGAACAAAAGAATTAGTAAAAACAATTTTTTTTTTCTTTTAAGTATTTTTTTTTTTGTTTTATTTAAATTCTTTTATTTTAGGTTCTTTGGCATGTTTATCATTCAGAAAGGTATTCATCATAGATTGTATGTATTTTATCAAGAACATTTGAATCAGTCAGATTAATTATTGTATTATTTGTATGTATAATTTTTCGTGATGAACTTTTTAATCGACTTGGTTTTGTTAATTTAAGACGTTGTAATAAAGGATCATCATCATCAGATTCTTCATCAATTAAAAATTTTTCTAATGAAACTATTGGAGATATGTATGAATGATCACCATGATCATAAATACAAAAATATGGTCTAATTTGTACTTGTTTATTTGGTTGAATAGAAATATTCATTTGATTTTCTAATAACAATAAATGATTAATATGATTAATTGAATTTTTTAGTTCATCTTGTTTTTGTATTGCTATTGAATGTAACATTTTAAAACGACGTTTATAATGATTATATTCATTTCTAAGATGATTATATCGTTGTAGAGTTGTCATTAGAAAAATAAGACTAGTTGAGAATGAGATTAGGCAATATTTATGTTCATTGAGAAATTGATTTATCATGTGAAACAAATATGACAACATCCATTTGTATTTTATTCTTAAGAAAAAAAAATTGCGCTGTTCTTTGTTTTTGTTTTGTTATTATTTTGGCGCATTTTCAGATGAAGGTTTCTATTTATTTGCCATGGCATTTATTATTATTACTATTATTGATAAGCATTGCTTCGGCAAGAGATTGGCTTGTCGATAAAATAACTGATGTAACTACATTAAAAATAACACCATTAGGTACATTATTACTTTCAAATACATTAATTAGTCGAGAATTTTTACTTGATCCGGATTTTGCTACAATTGATTTTCGTGATTTACATATAACTAATTCAAGTTTATTACGATGTGTTAAACCTGAAGCAGTTATTACACTTGATGGTATTGAATATAATATTGGTGGAGTTATGCCTAATACACAATGTGCTTATTTTAATCGTACGGAGTTTTGGAGAACTAAAACATTAGATACAAGAGCATTTCATTTTTCAACATATGAAATTGGACTACCGAAAGCTCCTTTTTCTTATACACCAAAACGATTTGCTCCAACTGATATACAATGGCCACCAAAAGGTATCCATTTAAGTGTCTATTTCAAGGCACCATACTATGCGCCACTATCACATAAATATGTCACTGTTGTTGTTAATTACGAAATGTATGACGGCATACCATTAATAGCAAAATGGCTCGATGTAATCGATACAAGTGGTCGTGGTGATATTGATCTTTCTTTTAATTCAGTTGAAATTCTTGCTGTCAATCAACCATGGTAAGACTAAAATAGATTAATTTAACAAAAAAAAAACAGTTCTATTTAGTTTCTCTTGTGATGCACGATTTTAAATCAGTGTTGAAATATAAGGATAAACATTTGGACTCCCCGCGTCACAGATTTGATATCAATAATATCTCGTTGTACAATATGAACTACTTTCTTACTGCATTTCTGGAGGATTAAATAAAACGATAGTAAAGAACTATATCTTGCACTAGATAGAATAAAACAATCTTCCTTTGATTAGCAACAAAAGTTATATCGTGTTTCATCATTTCTTTTTTATCTAACTGATATTCCGCTAACCACTTTTTTCTTTAATAGGTCACCTTTTGGTCATTCATGGTTATATGTTGAAGATGATCAACCTCCTGGTCATGGTACTAATGTATTATGGACCTATGATGTAGAAATAAATACGATTCCAGGTTCATTTCCACCATTAGTTAATTGTACATATCAAACTGATCATTCAATAGTTGTTCCACTTGTAACAAACTTAACATCATTTCGTGTTCATGAACTTGTTATTGGTTCATCAGATGAAGAACGTTATGCTTTATCAAAACATCGTCTTATACGTTTATTAGCCCCACATACACAAGAAAATCCAATATTTTTTCATATGATTAATGGAAGTTCACCAGCATTTCGTGCAGCAATTGATCAAATGGCTGAAGTTGGTTTTGAAATGCTTATTTATTCATTTGGTTCTGGTTTTGATATGGAATCTAATGATGAAAAATATATAGAACAAATAACAAGTGATATTGCATATGCAAATAGTAAAGGTATTGAAGTTGGTGGTTATGATTTAATTGCATTAACGCGTCAAGTTCGATCAGATTGGATGGCAATCGATCCAAATACTGGTAAACCACGTGATAGTGCATGCTTTGCATCTGATTGGTATGATTATTTATTAAATCGTACATTGACATTTATGGATCGTACTGGTTTAATCATGGTTGAAACTGATGGTCCCTATGGAGGTTATTCATGTGCATCAACAAATCATACTCATCATCGTAATAATGATGATAGTGTATATCGACAAAATATTCTACAAGGAAAATATTTTAGTATACTTCGAGAACGTTCTGTTTATATAAATCAACCAGATTATTATTTTTATCAAGGTGGTTCAAAAACAGGTATGGGTTATAATGAAGAACAATATTCATTACCACGTTGGATGGATATTAGTGTTTCGAGGTGAATAGAATACAATTTTTGAATGAATTTTTATTTTTATTTTTATAGGCAAGGAATGTTTGATGATACATATCAACGAATTCCAACAATGGGTTGGATGTTTGTACCATTAACTGTTTATCATGGTGGCGGTGCTGCAGCACAATTTGAACCACTTGTTGCACATCAAGTTGAATATGAATGGGCTTTAGCTCAATATTTAGGTTCGATTTTTTTTTTGAATTTTGTGAATCATGATTTAATAGGAGCGTTGAAGTCTAAGGATAGAAATTTGCCTCCTCCCACAGACATCATGGTGAAGTCAAGACCGACCATCACGAGCATAATCGCGAAATCAAAAGCTCACTGTGAGATTAGTATGCTAATTATTCTTTACTTTTTTTCATTGCCGCTGCAATATATTGCGATTAATATCTTTTATCATCAGCATGTATTAGCAGTAGATAGAAATTCATAAATTGAAACATATATTTTCAAATCTCCTTCTTTACAAAGTTAGCAGTTTCATCGTGTTGCATATTTTAATCGCAGATGGATTGTGCTAAAAGCATTTTTTTTTCTAACTGATAATAATAGGTGCGGGTGTTGCTGCTTGCTATCGAGGTTTTCGTCTATATGATACTGATGAAACAAAAGCATTAGTTACAAAATGGGTTAATTTTTATAAAAAATATCGTTCAATTTTAATTCGTGATATTATTCATGTAAGATATGAAGTTTTTATTTTTTATTTAAACTCTTTTAATATCAACGATGAAATAGGTTCGTCGAGCGGATATGCAGTATATTGATAGTTATATGCATGTTGATCCATATTCAAATGATATTAAAGGTATATTATATTATATTATTTTTTTATTATGGTTATTAATTTTGAGAATATTTTAATTAGGTCTTGTAATGGTATTCAATCCAACATCGGATCGAGTTGATACAATTTTACCAGTTCCTCTATATTATACAGGTTTAAGTGATGTAGCACAAGTATCAGAACAAGAAAATACTTGGATAAGTTATACATTAGCTCGAGATTATCATATTGATTTACTTGTTACACTTCCACCATTGGGAATAACATGGTTCCTAATTAAATGAACAGAGAAGAAAAAGCAATTTATTAATATGTAACTGTAACTTAATTTATTTTTTATATGTAATTATTAATTTCTCCGTGATATTTATATTGCAATTAAAATCCAAGAAAAATTTTTTTCCTACTGAAAATTTTTATTCTTCACTTTTTTTGTTTATCAGAATAAAATTCTTAAGGAATTTATTTCAAAAAATAATTAAAAATTTATGTTTGTTCAATTATTTAGAATTTTTTTAGCGATAATGTTAGCGTTATCATCTCATGTGTTTAACCTATTTTTTTGCCATTAAAAAGAAAAAGAAGTCAACTCGTTATTTTATTATAAAAATCTCGAACGTCTATGATTCGTAATGGTACGGTTTCTTAACGAACTGATTTTCTCAAAGTGTTAAATGTTAAACATAATAGAATTGAAATAATACATTATTTTAAAGTTATCTTCAATGGCATATGTCTATCGAGTTTTGTATATATATATATATATATATAAATTTAGATAATATCAAATCGGTTACCGAGTATTCCAAAATATTTGCACGCGTTTTATTTTGCATATATATCAACATGGGTAAAGAATAAAATCTTGATTTTTTACACAAAAAGGTGTGTCGTGAAAAACTCAATAAAATTTTTATAAAGAAATCGTAATGGACTTTTTCTCCTGATTTTTTCTAAGTGGGTGTAAATGTAGAGCTTATTAAGTACCGTACCAACATCCACATCCAGCCTTCATAATCAAGAATCTCTTCGATTTTATGTTTAAAAAATACCAAATTGTTTGTATTGTTGTGTTTTATTTATCTTGTAGTATGCACATTAATACATAAACATTCAATGATACCGAAGACAAGAAAATACACGTCAAAAAATACAAAAAAGAAGAAATTGAACAATTCTATGTTAATCATCATGTCTGATTTGAATATTCAAAAAAGAAGAAAAAAATAAATAGAAGCACAGGATTTTGTGTTTTAATTCTTGTTTAGTTGAAGTAAAAAGATAATCAATAAAATAATAATGTTTGTCCCAAGATTCAGACATTAATACAATGGCAAATTTGTTATTCATAACTAGTTATTTATATATATATATAAAACGATGCACATAGTAATTCATTACTTAAGCTAAATAAATCTTATTTATAAGTTTTATAGACGATCGACATATAGGACCTAACAAAATATATTTCAATGAAAAATTCTTTTATAAAATTTCCCTAATACTTACATTGTTTCGTTCCGTGTTCAATTAATTCTTTGGCACATGAATAACATAAACAAATATGTCCACAAGGAATAAGTACTGTATCTCGCGAATGATCAAAACATACAGTACAATCCTGACTTAATTTAAAATCACATTCATTTTTAATATTATTATTATCATTATTATTTGTTGAAGTTAATTCTTGATTTGATTTCGTTGTATCATTATTATTATTTACTTGTTGTAACGAACGATATCTATCAAGATTTTTTATATAACCTATAGAACGTATAGCTACAATATCACCTTTAAATACAAGAAATGGATAATAAATAAGATTTGAATCAACATGAATAAAATCTTTTAATTTAGAATTATTATGTGAATATTCAATAATACCATCTTGATTAAATGTAAATAAAAATTCATCATTACGATCAATTGTTGTTTTATTACCTAATTTAAAATCTTGTAAAATCCAAAATTCTGAACGATCATTTATTTTTTCAATATCAAGTGGTAAATCATTTGTACGTAATAAATTTTGTGTATTACAATTTGTTAAACCGAATTGTATATGTGATACTAATAAATTTGAAGTTACTGCTGTTGTTGTTGTTGTAGTTCGTATGCGAGATTCATTTGACGGTATTATACTTAATATTTGAATTAATAAACCTGAATTAATTGTTAATGGTTCAGAAAAAAATACTAGACCATCACAAGTTTTTGTATTGTCATATAAAACTATCGATTGATTAGGTAATGCATTTGATGATGATGAAAAAAATGATATTGATGAACTATGTACAGGTAAAAATGTCAATGGACTAAGATCATTACAAATGTCTTTAAAAAATGATGTTGTAACTGTTGGATTTATATTACGAAGTTGATCATTAAGTGAACCGGTACGTTTTAGATAATCGTCAACAAGTTCAATACTTATACAATTACCATAAATATCTAATAAAGCCCAAAGGGGTTCTTGAACAAAAATTCCTAGAAATTCATTTGTGATATTTAAAAACAAAACAAAAAATTTCTTTTTGTTTGGTAGAATAAATACAAACCGGTAAGAAGTGAAATTTCTCCAGTAGGTGTATTAAGAAATAGTTCACCATTTTCATCAACATAAAAATAAGTTAATTTATTTGTTACATCGAAACAATTTTCTGGTACACATTTAGCCCAGTAACCTAGAACAAGAAGAAGAAGAAGCATAATTATTCAATTCATCATTATGAGAATAGCTAACCAGGTCGACAAGTCAAATCTGGACATGCATGACGAGGTAATGCTGTTGATGTTCGATGAGTATTAGGATCGCATGTAGTTACACCAAGACGAAGAAAACCTGTCCACTGTATACTTTTACTAAGAAGACGAACGTAAACTTTTTCACGTATTTGAATTGTTCGATTACTGAAACAGATTCCTTTACAGAAACTATCAACACGTTTTGCTATTGTATTATTTCGTGATAATTTAATATGTTCACCATGAACTGGATGAAATTGTAGAGGTGTATTCATTATTATCGAATTGATAGATGAAATTATTTATGAAAGTTAATATAGGAAGAATAAACCAAGAAAATAAATAACAAAATTGTTGTAAGAAAAAGTAATGATTATGTTTATCTTATTTAACGGGAAAGGACAACCATCACCATTAATCGAAGATTTACAAAAGATGTCGCATGTTCACATACAAAAGTTATTCAAATTAGTCGACCACCAATTTTTCAATTTTAACCGCTATCTTAAAAGCTAAAAGGATCTCGAATATTAATTCAAATATAGAAAATTATTTACAGAAAATGGATGAAAATAGTTAACCGATATCTAAAGATAAGATCACTCAAAAGCTAAAACTTACGTTACTTTTTAGCAATTAGAATGCACAGAATGACAGAGCAAATAGTTCTTGATAACACAGAATGTCTCTCAGTTGCGTACTATACGTTTTTGGGCTAGATACAACAATCTTGTGAAAGATCCTAACGTGGTTTCTATTGCTATTTCCTGTGAAAAATCTACGTACGTATAAGATTAGCAATATAACCGGCCTTTTTCTGCCCGAATTCTTTTCGACATTGATGTTAGTATTCTACTCGGTTGAGTTAATGCGATGATGATATTGAGTTTTTCATTTGATTCCTTCAGCATTCTTTACTAACAATTGCTCTCAAGCATGTCATGACTTTCTAATTTGTTGTTTTAAATACCGGATTCGAAACTTTCACTAGGTTTGCATGAAATATTTTTCGAAAAATATTTTAGTATTTTTAAATATGATTCAAGCAATATTTTACAAGATTATTCTGTTTTAAGAAGGAACAAATGCTCAAAGTGATCATGATAATAATGTCGAAAGGTTTCAATACTATCGATATATTAATAGGAGTTGATTACAAGTTTGATTTTGAGTATTTTCATGACAGGTTCAGTCAGAACTTTCATCGTCTAATTTCAGTGTGGCAGCAGAGAACTCATATTTAACTCTAGTAAATGCAGCAGTTATTGACTGTTCCAATGATCAACAAATGTATCCAAAAAAAAACTCATTTATTAATGTGTTTTTGTGATATTCGAGTTGTCAAGTTTTGAAATGAAGTTCGCATTGTGTTTCTTTTACTTTGAAACAAATCTCACAATGTGATAAATCGCTTTTGAGATGAGTCTTACTTCATGAAGTAGGCTATTTTGAGACCTGAGAAAGCCTGAAAGCATATGCATTCATTAAATTTTCTTCTTGAGTTATGGTCATTCAAGTGAGTTTTTCAGCTAAATACCATTATCCTACTAAGATCACCATCCAAATTGATTTTCGAGTTCAAACTTTGTAAGAGTAAAATTTTCCATGGAACTATTGCAGGATGAGAGTACTAGATTTTCTAATATGTTCTATTCACAATAAACAAATGAAAAAACAAACAAATTAAAGGTTACAATCGAACAAATGAAAAATAACCAGTTTCATTATCGAAATGAAATAAAGGATTGTTATAACACCATAGTTTGTAAAGAAAAAGGTGATTTGATAATCATTCTGAAAAGAGAATATAGGTATGGGTGCGCGTTTGAATGTAGGTGTAAAAACAGACTGTAACAAAACTCACACCCTTACCAAAATTCACCCCATACCCATCCCATACGCGCATCCACACTCATACTCCGCGATAATGCTAAAACGCTCAAACGATCGAGACGAAAGAACAAGGTGATGCAATAGCTTAAGCAACGCAAAATCGAATTCGATGAATTCATGATGAAAACGCAGTTGCTACATCAGCAAGAATATCTCTTTTGCGATTAAGATCTAATAATCGATTTTCAAGCCGAAATTTCGTCAATAGATATAGATATCATGGTTATTTGAGTACTCCATAATTTTCAGCCGAAACGAATATGCTTCAGCCAGTGATTAAGTTTTTATCAACCATCACTTTTATTGGGAAAGGATGAAAAGTGAGCATTTTTAGAGAACTAATATCTTGAAAGCAACGCATGCGTTTCGACTGAAATGTTTATGAAAGTCTAGTGATGATAGTACGTACTTATGAACAGGATTTCAGGTCGAAACTCAATAGTCAAGTTATCTCTCGAAATGATTAGTTACAGATAAACTAGAGAATGAAACAGACAAACCTTCAGAACAATATGATGCGAGCACTAATCACACTGCAATTTTCTCGCATCATAAAATCCTATTTCTGAACAAAGTGGTCGCTGAAAGACTTTGATAGTTGCCTCAAATGCTTCCAGAAACACAGCTAAGACTGAGCCTCATAAAGTGTTCTTGTTGCTCAAAAGTAATCAGAGAAACTTCATGATTGAAGACTAACATTAACAGAGAAATGTATAATCAGTGATGACGATGAATATTTTCACGAAAAAAAAAATGAAATCTTATGGGACCACTACAAAAACAAACTCACCCGCAGAATATGTGAAAAAAAGCGTTCGTGCATCACGACGATATTTCTAGAAAACTCTAACAATACAAGGTAGCAGTCAGGAGCGGCTGTATAGAAAGTAAGCATTGGGAAAATAGTAACAGATAGGACTTGGGTGGGTGTGTGGGTACATATATCTTAGCTAATTCCACACCCATACCCAAAACAAGGTCTCTTAAAATTTTAGTAGAGTACATTGTTCCATTAAAGATGACAATCTCCTATATGGATGATATAAATCATATATCATTATACTCACTATCTCTCATAATTCAACATTCGTTTATATAGTTACTTTTGTGAAATACGAACTAAAAGGAAGTGTTGAAGTATAAAGGTAGAAATTTGCACCCACTTTCCTCCCCTCCGAGTGATCGAAAAAAGAGAGCCAGGAGCAATTCTTACGATTAATATAGCTACTAACTTGCTATTTTGTATAATTATGCTTCTCACTTGATTCTGATTATTTGTGCTGATTTACCTTCTTCTACTAGCAAAATTCCTGAAAAATAGGTTATTCATTGAATTTTTGATAAAACGCCGTACTCGTTCTCAGACCACGTTGAAAGTTGTATTTTTAGTTTTGACTTGAAACTTTGCATAAATAATGCTTTCAATGAAACTAGTTCATTGTGAAGGTTTCAGCTGTTTTCGTTGCTTCTGTCGTGAGATACGGATATACAAATTCTGTTGTGTGAGAAAGCGAATTTCGTGATTTGTCAGTATATCACGACAGAAGCAATGGAAAAGGCTGAAACTTTCACAATGAACTAGTTTTATTGAAAGCATTATTTGTGCAAAGTTTCAAATCAATACTAAAAATACAACTTTCAATGAGACCTGACGGGGGTACGGGGTTTTGTTAAAAAATTCAGTAAAAATTGAAAATCATAAGAACGAAGGCATGGAAAATCAAGTCATTCTATACCTTTTAAACGCGCGCTAATACTAATCGAATGAACATAGTCCAAAGGCAGAAATAATTTAGCACCTGGAAGTGTTTCCTCGCAAGTTCCCAAGGTTTCCTTTTGAAGAGCCCAAAGTTAGCGACTATCTATAAGTTATGTTTAAAGCCAAACAATAGTTGTAGTAGTTTAATAATTCATGTATTTGAGTTTGAATTGTCTATTGAAAACGATTCAAAAACCTAATCGATCTAAAAGATAAGTATTGATTATACAAATTCCTCGGAACCAATCTACATGGCAGGTTATATTTGCGACGTCGTATGTCAATACGAATTTAAGTGGGAATCTTTGAACATTCATCCAAGATGGATAATGTCATGTACTATCAGATAGTAAATTCAAATTTAAATAAATGCTTCGGTGAAACAATGGCATTATTCACTTGCCATTATTTCTTAGTATATTATGAGACGGCTTTTGGCCCTATTGGAGCAGAAGGAACTTCAGACAGTCTGAAATGCCTGTAGTATATAGTAAACATATAACGCTAAATAACTGCATAATATCTAATAGATATGATTTGATCTTTAGTTAGAAACATAAACTTTACTTTTATCGCCCTATCAATAATATTCACCTGTTCTACGTACTTTTGGTAGCTGCTGCAAGATGGTTACTCACTTGCAATTAGAATACAAGCTGCAGTTAAATGCAGAGTCATAGTAGTTTTAGTGCTAGCTATCATATACGTTCAGATCTAAAAAAAATCGATTTTGTCGTCTGGCTGTCCACTGTGACTCATACACATACCCACACCAGAATCGGGGCTGGAAATACTCGAATATGCTGCTAACTTTACTTAGGTAAAAAATAAATATTACGCAGTCAGTGATATTAGTTAAATGTCAAATTCTGAGCAAACATTTGAAAGGAGCACAAAGTTCTGGTTTTATTTAAAAAGTTTTGATTCTCAATAGTTACATAAATAAATCAATACTTCGTGTCAAGACGTATGAAAGAGAGTTAATCCTACTCATTTTATTAAAAACTCATCAGAAAATGGTTTTGATAAAATTAATAGTAAATAAAGAAAATTTTGATATTGATTTGCTTCATAATCATTGATCGTTAATTAAAACAGTAATAATTTATTCGATTGGTTTCATATGAATTATAAATGAATAAAATTTAGCTACTAGATAATTACGGGGAAAGAACTGAACTAGTTATTGACTTATTTTGGAGAAGATTTAAATTATAATCTTGAAGTGAAAAGTGTGATTGAAATATGATAGAACCAGGTGAAAGAATTCTTGATATTATTTTATCATAGATTTAAGAAAAAACGAAAGTATTATGTTATTTAAATATAGATTGTGTAATTTATATGGAATATATGCAATAAAGTCATTATCGAAATTAATAGGAAAATGTTTAGTTTGATTAATGAATTAAATGATAAACAAAACGACTATGATATATATTAAATGGTTGGACAAATATTTGATCAATAAATATAATATGATTATTTGTATTG